AATACTTCTAGATATTTGCATTATCATATACAAATGCGCTGTAGTTAAAAGATATTAAGGAACCATGATCAAATAAGGACTATTTTGTGATTTACAACCTTTTGATGAATCCCATTATTTTATCATGGTTCCTTAATATATTTTAACTACATTTGTATATGATAAAGCAACTATCTAGAAGTATTTTATAGAAAAAATGAACAAAGTATAACCTTATTTGTACATGCAGCTAAAGACCACATCTGTGTTCATCTGAACAGGTTCGTTTTTTGAAATTTAAGAAAAAATTCAATATCTCAAAAACGGTGATACTTTTTTTAGGTAAGTTTTATTTATTTGGGAGCCTACCTTCTCCTTAAGTTTGTCGTGGTACTTATTGGACACTTTGTATGATAATATAGATTAACGCGATACAAATCTCATTACAAATTTTCCCTATATGACATTCGTGGGGTACGAGGGATGTCTTTTAAGTTTTGCATATAGAAACATAGTGGGCCGCGCGGATCGAACGTCAGTACTGAATCTTAACCTCACTCTTTAGTAAACTTAAATTCAAAGTTTCACAATAATACGTGCAGTGTTCTCACTACAGTGAATTTTTAAGTGTCACCAAGGCATTAGAAAAATGGAACTCAACCGAGAACATTTTCGCGCCATAATTTATTACAACTTTCAGAGACAATTATCGCAACAAGAATGCTTTGCTGAGTTACTGTCTGTTTTCGTCAACGAAGCGCCACATCAGTCGACAATTTCCCGTTGGTATGAAGAATTCAAACGTGGACGGGTGAGTCTTAGCGACGATCCCAGGGTGGGTGCACCAAAAACGGCTGTCACCCAGGAAAACGTCGATGCTGTACGCAAACTCATCATTGAAGATAGATATGTGACATATCGCGAGATTGAGGCGTCCTTGAAGATCTCAAAGACCTCAATTCAAACAATTTTACATGAAGAATTAGGAGTAAGAAAATTAGTTTCTCGTTGGATACCCCACCTGTTAATTGGTGTCAAAAAACGGTTGACCGTTTCAATTCCGGAAACTCAAAAAATGTGTACATCATTGTTAGTGGTGATGAATCGTGGATTTACTGTTATGAACCAGAAAATAAACGACAGTCGGTTGTTTGGGTGTTTCAAGGTGAAGAAAAGCCAACTAAAGTCATCCGTTCTCGAAGTGTTTCGAAAAAGATGGTCGCGACATTTGTGTCAAAAGCGGGTCATATTGCAACAATTCCTCTTAATGAGCAAAGAACTGTTACTGCGGATTAGTATATCGCCATTTGTTTCCCAAAAGTCATCACCGAGCTTCGAAATATCAACCCCGAAAGAAGAATCATCGCACACAGCCCAAGAAACAAGGCAGTATTTAACGGAAGAAAACGTGGAATTATTGGACCATCCTCCATATAGTCCCGCACGGGTATCACGTATCTTGAAAAGTGACATTATGCCGGTTTTTTTTGACATTATGTAGGTTATTCTACAAGATATTAACTTAGCACTTAGTTGTACGTGTTGCGCATCCACTTTTTCTTATCCATTCTGGAAATTACATATACAAATTTGCTGAATTTTAAAAATGAGAGAGATAAGAAATAATTATATTCACTGTACACTGTCGCAAGCCATATACATGCTAACAGTAATTAGACAAAACGTGGTGATGATTTCCCGTAATTCTCCTCGGTTTTTCGTAATTTATAACTTTGAACATAACCTCTCTTCAGAAAGCACAACATATAAATAACCCATCATATTCAGTAATGATTTTCTCACACACCAAATATCACTGATTTTATAGACATGAAGACATAATCATCCGGATGCGATCTTGCTATTCAACCAACTTTCTTCTCAGAGATAAAAGCTACAGACCTGGGTCACTCAGTCTCACAAAACTATGTAACCAATAATGCGTAGTTTAGTTGAGTGATTCGTTCATAGATGGACGTTCACAACGATCCTAGTGAGCAAACGTGGATGAATGACTATTTGCGCCCTAAAAACTACCTAGTCTGCAAGTTGACATCTTATAGGTTTGTTTGACGTTTTATAGGTTTTTTACATGATACCCGTGCCGATCTAAGTCCTAACGATTTCTTTACTTTCCCGAAAATTAAAAACAGACTGCGTGGTCAAAGGTTCCAGTCACCAGAAGAAGCAGTTAACTCATTCAAAAATGCCGTTTTGGATCTGCCAGCAAACGAGTGGAATAAGTGCTTCGAAAATTGGTTCGAGCGCATGCAGATGTGTATTAATCGTCGTGGAGAATACTTCGAAAAACAATAGTCATTTAAAACTCCCTACCGTGTTGTTTTATTTCCTTATGCAAAACTTAAAAGATAACCCTCGTATTATGGCACAATCCGTATCTCCACTACTACTTTTCGTCATTATTCGTCAGAGCGGTCCGGTGGACCTTTGCTCTTAGTTAAAAGTCTCGTCGGTCTGTTAGTCTGTCAGGTCTGGCTACCCAGATACCAAACATGTTTAAGGAGAAAAGGGAAATAAGGAAAGAAACGAAGGAAGAAATAGAGTAAAGAAAAGAAGTAAATCATTTGAAATAGCTTAAGCATTATTGCTTTGACTAGTACTCGAATTATTCTCTAACTCCAAAAAATGATTTTGATCGGTTTTGCATACTGAAATAATTTTGGCTGGTCTGAATTTACAATTTAATTTTGATCACAGTGCGACGCGCGGCCTGGAATGTTTGCGAACTTGCTCGACTGTGTAGTCTACTGAATCAGGCAACAGAGGGTGGTTTTACGTAATCCCTTAGATATGGGATATCACGATCTCTGTGAATAGTCTCATTTGACACGTACCAAGGGGCGTTAGTAATTGTGCGTAGGGTTCTGTTTTGCAGGACTTGCAGTCTCTGCATGTGCGTCTTGGCAAGAAAATACCAAGCCGCGCATGCGTAGGTGATTGCGGGTCTTATGAGCATTTTATACAACCGAATCTTGTTGATCAAACTTAATTTTGAATTTCTGCACAACAAAGGATAAAGCTGCCGAAAGGTAATTAGGAATTTTGTTTTCAAAATATCAGTATGTTTCTGCCAGGTCAACCCCTTGTCAATGATGACTCCAAGATACATGACAGGTTGCTCCCATGGTATTCGAGTTCCATTCACTGATATCTCTGAGGGGGCACCGCGACGTTTTTCAGTACAATAGATCGCCTGCGTTTTCGAAGTATTAATTTTGATCAACCACCGATCCGCCCACTCCAATACTTCCTCCACCGCACTCTGCAGCCTTTCATGAACCAGGTTACCAGAACAAGACTGGGCTAGCAATGCAGTGTCATCAGCAAAGAGATAGACTTCACAGTTGCTGGGGCAATGGACGTCATGTATAAAAAGTGAATAAAGGATTGGTCCTAAGACCGAACCCTGAGGAACACCGGCTCTTACGGGCCGTGTTGTTGACAAAACGTTGTTAATTTTGATCCGAAACTTCCTTCCTTCTAGAAAAGATTTCAACAGTTTTAGTAGCCAAAAAGGAAAACCCTTTTGGATGAGCTTATACAAGGCCCATGTGCCACACCTTGTCAAATGCCTTTGATACATCTAAAAGCAAGATACCAGTACTTTTGTTCATGGTGAACCCCCTGGTTACATGCTCCACCAGTCTAACTGCCTGTAGTTCCGTACTATGCTCAGACCGAAATCCGAATTGCACGTCAGCCATATATCAACTTGATGAGTCATAAACGACAACGCCTATTAAGGAAGTGTCACCAATCAATCAGATTGCCCCGCACTGCAACACGTGAGCATGAGAATGCTAAAATAGGTCATACTCGAAACAAATGTCATTACAAATTTTCCCTGAATGACATTGGTGGGCAAATGGCGCAATCCATCTCTCCCCGGACGATCCGTCATAATCGGCATCAGCAACGTCGACGAAGCCGTCGCGGCACTCGCTTCGCCTCATCTGCTATCAATTTCGAATGTAATTGGATTTGTCGAACGTCCCTTTCCCATTCCACTTCCCGTCCATATCGCGAAATGAGAAAATATGAGATATATGCGCGATTGTGATTTACGCTGACGAACGTCACATCCTCAACGTAATTCTCATTGGAAAAAATGGCGTCAAGTAGGTTGACTCTGTACTACCCACGCAACGCCGTAATCAGTACATAAAGGAATATGTTCAGCGCAAACTAGACCCCCTGAGAAAAAAAATCAGTCAAGCAGGTCCATACAATTAGTCCATGAGCATGCTTTACCTGTACTACAGCTTCTGGAAACGTCGCCTCTCCCTGCTACTAGGGCAGACGTGGCACCGGGGCAGCGCGGTTAGAGCATAGAAAACACTATGCTGTTGCGCGGCAGAAATATGTGTGATTGCATATTAGAACTCTCATCGCGGTCGGCAAGACAGCTTGCGGTATTCGCGGTATGTTAAACGATTCGTTTTCGTGTTTTGGTTGACATTTTTTCATCATGTCATGCCTCACGTCGACATCTTGTTCAACCTGTTGCAAAAGAGAAAAACCGAGCCAGCGCAAGTTAAAACGATAATTTTGAAAAATGTATTGTCGATGTGAGAAATAAAATTCATGACATAATAAATGAAGCCAAAAGTATTTGCACTGAACCCCAAGGCAACAAAAGGAGACGATGTAATAATAGCAGTCACGATCACCGAGTTGCCGCATTAGAAGTATGCGACAATAAAGTGAATTCTGCAAATGACAGATTTCAATTCAAAGATCATTTGGTAGCCGCATCCTTTTTTTTCCCCGAACACTTTGGAGAATACTGTGGTAAGTTTCCTGATGACAAGTTGGAAACTACCTGCTTGGCTTATCCCGAATTAGAAAAAAGTCGTTTAAATACAGAGTTGTCTGTTATTTATGCACGGAATGATTGCCGAGATTTACATGGAACTCTGTCTATTTTGAAATTTTTGATACAAAATAGTTTGGAGGAAACACTAAAAAAACAAAAAAGCTATTAGAAATTATTGTTACAACTCCTATGTCAACATCAGAGGCTGAGCGAAATTTCTCAACATTGAAAAGAATCAAGACTTTTCTTCGTAATACTATGACCCAGGATCGCCTTACAGCATTGTCGATGCTGTCCATTGAAAAGGAATTTATTTCGACCATGGAAAATTTCAACGGAAAGGCGATCGACAAATTTGCTGCCCAGAAGGAGCGCAGGATCGAACTGACATATGAAAAATAGGTAAGTTCGGATTTGCAGAACACCTGTTTTATTTTGCCACGAGCCGCCGCTGCCACACGGGATCCTTTCTCCTCCCTGTCATTACCTTTCTTTTTTTGTCGATCTTTGATGCACAAAAAACAAAACACACAACTACGCTACGACTTCGCACATTTGACTGCTGGAGATCGCAACGTGAAAAATTACCCAAAGGCAAACGGTACTTCCCCGACCCCTTTCTACAAGATCATGATGGGTGTTCCACAAGAAACCGTCTTAGCAGGGTCATTTGCAGACTACACAAAATCAGTTCATAAGTTTGAAGTTTGCCTGCTATCAATCTTGAATGTATGTAATTGGATTTGTTGAACGACCCTTTTCCATTCCACTTCCCATCCATAACCTTAAATAAGAAAATATGGGATATATGCGCGATCATAATGTTCGCTGACGAACGTTACATCCTCAACGTAATTTTCTTTAGAACAAGGGCCTAGGTGTTCCACAAGGAACCATCTTATCAAGGTCACCTTTCCAGCCCACAAAAAAAAAACAGTTCATAATTGTGGATATTGCATCTATCAATTTTGAATGTAATTGGATTTATCGCACGTCCCCTTCCCAACCACATCCTGAAATGGGAAAAAATGGGCTACTATGCTGACCAACATCTCATGCTCAACATAATTTTCATTAGAAAATGCATTCAAGAAATATTATATTCATACTTTTATTAATTTCCCTGTAACGCCAACACAGGACATCGATAAATCAAAAATTTATTTATCTTACATACTTAACATTACAGTTATTAAATTTCTCTAAAAATTTACAATACATAGTGGCTCAAGGCTGTCTGCTTGATGACCAGATGCTTCTTTCCTAAGTCAGTTTTCATTTGGCTAATATTAAGTAATTCATCACATATGTCTGGAGTAATCTTGTCAAGATTGAAATTTAGAAAAATGAAAATGAGAGGTACAGTTTATCTTACCAGACACCGGAATTTCAACAGAATTTATGCTATTAGGATAGACATTATACCTCCAATAAAGGAGACTTGATCTAGTCTTTTGCCTCCATGAAATACTTGCACTAATAAAACTTTATAACCCCTTTTCAAAAAAGGTTGCTAACTATTCTGGCTGCTCAAAATTGGCTGCTTTATTTTGGTTTGTCAATCATATGATGACCTTGGGTTATTGTAATTCTTTCAGAATTTTAAAAACTAGATCACAAGGAGTCAGTATATTACCAGTTGCATTAAAAATAAATTTAATTTGTTTTTGGATTTTAGAGGACTGAAGACATCAAGTCACTATCAACAATACATCTGGTTAGGGTCATCTTAAGCTATGTAGGTGCCCCTGGGCACACAGGAAGCTTAGCTCTTTAATTAGAGCCAGTCCAGAGTGAAATCTGGAACCCTGGTTTTGGTAGGGGATAATTAGAGGATAGAATTTGCTCAGAAGTTTTTTTTTTGTAGATTTTAGGCATTTGGGAATCATTCATCAAGCCAGTGCACTGGGCATAGGCCCTGTGTGCCTATAGAGTAGAGAAGGAATTCATTTTACCGGACCCTCAACCAACTACTCTCAATTGAACAGGATGTCTCCCTACATATTATGATATTTGGATACTAAAGAAAATGATGAGGTAATGATCAAAAAATTCTGAATGCTAGCAAAATCAAAGTATAGACACACACATCAGTACACAACACATACAAAACATCCAAAATTGTAAATATAGCAATAATGTAGTCAAGATTTAATTAAATATTCTGAATGCCAGTACTGGAATGTCAACCACTGGCAAATGTGAATACAAAAATGTAAACAGCAATCGACTACCAAATAGATACACACATACTGACGTATGTCTCAAACTTTACTGAAAAATAAAATAGAAAAATAAATGAATAAACACTGAACTGTCACACAGCCGCCTACGAATGACAATTATGAAATCAATAATACCTTTTAATTTACGCATGATACTTTGAATTACAGTTAGATTAGCCAAATTATTGAGCAGACACCTAAAATTTCTATTTCCTGGCAATGAAATTCCCCAAACTTTATATATTTATAGTTGAATTTGACACAACCCTTGAATCCTCAACATAACCTCAATCGGACCTGAGTGTTTCCAAATAACATTGCAGCCACAATGTTGCTTCATATTGGGCATTCATCAAAATAATAATTACCTGTTTCGTAGAAAATCATACTGAGTGTGGGACAAAACTCTCAAAAAGATCGCTGCCTAACTGAACAGAATTCAAGGTCTTGCGATATAAAACATCCAAAGTGTCAGCGGAAAGTACGCGGGTACACACGAGCACAACGCGGTTTTCGAACCGGGAAATCGGTACACAACACTCGCGCTAACGGAGTTTTCGTATTTCCACGTCAAACACGTAAAAATTATCGATAAACACCAGACGTCTGATAAAATATTTTCAATATGGCCGCCTGAAAATTCTGCTGTTTACAAGGATTTGTTGACCCTGGTTCCATGATGAATCTTATTGGACGGGAGAACGCGGCTCAAAATCCTATTGGCCGAATTCAAGGTTATGGACAAAATCCAGGCATGCACCTGTCATCTAGGATTTTCTATTTTTCGTCATTTGTTTCTGTACATTGACAGTTGTATCGAAATTTGCCAATATGCTACATTTGGCAGTTTTGTGAATTTAACTTCCAACCTACCTCAAAACTTTTTAGGTTAAGATCATAATTATGATAAGTGAAAGTGAATTTGAAATCGAAATCTATATACACGCGCCATCTATCAAAATATAAGGAACTACTAGTGTGTCGTGTCGATCATGCAGCACATAGTGATGAGTTGTTTTGAATATTGGCTTTCGGAAAGTATTCAATTCAACCATCAAACTGAAATTATTTGGGACAGTTTATAATAGTTTTTAAAATAACATCCAATATTTTATTTTTGTTATATTTGATATCACGTTCATCGGAAGAGGAAGAGTTTTTATGACTGCTAAAGTGCATCGTGGTAATTTGACAGTACTGACGATCATGATTTCACAGCACTTACGCAGATGAAAAAAATCACTTTGCCGTCGTATTTATGTTCCACTGCGCCGTCTATCTCATAGAACAATATCAAATGGACACCGACATTTAGCACTTCCAGTGTTGCAGTTTTGTAAATGTCCTAATTGGGATTCAGCTAAATGTCATATGGTCAATATTTATTACGATCCAAACAGTTAGTATTTACGGATCATTCCCTTAGTGTCAGTGGATTTTCACGTAACCTTATGCATCAGTAATAACTGGCGATCTGGCTTCACGGCCAATAAACATGAAATTCCATGATGAGTCCTGATGGATCACATTACTAGATACTGACCGTTTGAGATTTGCCTACGATTATCTCTATACAAACACTACTACACCCATCTCTACTGGCAATATCATCACGTGGGCTAGAAATTTTGGCGGCAAACTTAAAATGCAAATACGTCGTATGAGATATGAACGAGATACACCTATAATATTATTCGTTACCAAACTGATATATTAACAATGGTAATACCCACCTTTCTAACTGCCCGTTCCTCTCCTTTCCCGTGAGAAGTAGAAAAGTCGCATTGATTTGATCCATAGAAGCTATTTTTGGGTGTTATCCAACGTACCCGGGTCGAGCCGGCAGAAATGTTCTCAAATACACGTATTAAAACATTGTCACCTATTAAATAACATCGCTACGTACCGCAGACTCTCGTGCGTAGGTAATATGATACCGAATCAATGCAAATATGCTCGAAAAAGTCCACAATTTTTCGTTCTCCTATGCAACAATACGACCGTACACTGTACTTGCCGAGAAGGAGGTTCCTAAATCTTATGCGCTCCGACGCCTGACAACAATGTTGCTAGGCAACCAATGATACCTGGCGAATGGCACCATCCCGTTTTCCCTGCTCTCACAGCTCCCAGCTAGATAGTATTCAGGAACGTTAATTTTCCAAAGGAGTGTCCCTTTGTTATCTGTTCATACCTCTTGCATTTTCTGTTCAATCAAGACGCAAGACTGAGGTTCATGTCATACTTGATCAATGCAAAAGACGTATGAAATCATCAGGTTGAACCTTACTTTTTTTCACACCTCAAAGGGCCCAGCTAGTGGGTCATCAAACGAATAATTATAAAATAATTTTTTTGTTCGACGGAATATCGATATTTGACTACAAAAAATTTATTTATGAAGGTTTTGACAATTTCTACGAACTGCAAAATATTACAAAGATTAGAAAAAGTAAATTTTAATGGCAAAGCTGCGACGTAATGAGTTCTAGATGGGATCCCACTTCCGCCTTCGAGTACTTGCTCCGACTGAAAATTGTAGAGCGGGGGGATCAATTTATCGAGTAGGCTGGGATTAAGATTTTCCGGTTGTCAAAATAACGGCATACTGTAATACCACGTAACAAACTGTAATTAAAACAGCGTAAGTTGGTAATAATCGGTTATGTAGGAGAGTGAACAAACTGAATATTTTCTTAAAGGTCTATCGTTACGTGTCTGATTGATTAGAGTATTGTTTAGTCTTGTGTCGTATGAAGCATTTTGATTGATGAATTAACTCACCTGACCTCACGCAACGAACTCAATCGCTGTAAAGGACCTATACACGCGAAATTACAGCTTTGATTTTCTTGTAGTTACGCGGTTTGAGTCATTGTTGATAAAGCAGTATTGCAGTATCGCCAGCGAAATAATATCAGAATTTACAAGTAGTAAACAATCTTCAATATTAATATTCGAAAACGAATAAAGCAGCAAGAATTATTATATGGCCAACAAGCAGAAGCTTTACATGAAATGCTCACATCCACTATTCACGTAAGTTTTTTTTTCATAATTAATATTTAACTCGGAGGGAAAATGCAACTTTTCCTTTCAGGAATGATATAAATAATGATTTCTTGCGTTAGTTGCCCGACTCTTCCAGCGGGAAATAGAGAGGATCTGATTTTCTTTCAACGTACGAATTTCAAATACATTTTTTATAGCATAAGCGAGAAAAAAACAATTATAAGGTGCATCATTCTTGTAAAGTATGTAATAATCTATTTCAGATTGAAGATACAAAAACAAAATTATCTCGATATCAAAATTTATTTTGTATGTTAAAGTAGCAATACATTGTAACACAAGAAGG